TATGCAGTAAAAAACAATAAAATGATACTTGTAAATAGTTTTACATTTTTGATATGACAAAATTATAATAAATACCAAGTCTACAATTATTTGAAGTGTGTATACATTTTTTGGGACACCCTGTATATGTGAAAGGTGCGAGCCGATCAGAACGGGTTGAGACACATGGCGACAGTCTACTGGCAAAAACGTCGTGCCAGTATCGATTTTTCAGTGCTTCTACGATTTTAGCTCGTTCTTTGCCCTCGAACTCTAACTCCTATCTTCGTGGCGCTGGGACCTCTATCTCCGCGACAATGGGAGGATTGTTTAAATTGATATCAATGTTGAAAGATCGCCCAACTTACACGTGCCCGCACTTCACTCTGACTGAAGCATCCGAGATTATACTTTATGCCCAAATCGCAAGCAGTTGCAATTTGTTCGGGAGGACGCCCCTTAGTGGACGTATGTTTGGTACATGTTTCAGATGTCTTCTACGTTTGATGCCCGTCCTTTATCAGCAGAATTTAGTCAAATCGAGCCATATCTAATCCGAAAAGTTTCCAGCATCCATGCATTGCAACTCTTCCACCGCCTATCTGGAAACTGCGCTTCTCGGGCTATTTACAGTCTGCCATATCCCAAATTACATTTACAAATTTTCCACGTTGGAGTTGTTCAGTCCACACTTCGAGCATGGAGAGTGCCCCACGTGCAAAGTGGTCTCGCGAGTAATAATCGCCAAGGGTTTGATTTTTTTGACAGCTAAACAATGAACGACCTCACATTAACTGCTCTTTGAGCTTTAAGTATTCATGCGTTATCCTGCCTGTGTTCGATTTTACGTGATTCAAAACCATCTTTGCTGGATTACCAGTTCGAGGTGGCGCTTAGAAGGCCTGCGTGAGTCTTTATCTCTGAACTATCAGTCATTATCAAGATTTTGTCCGTAGCACTGCATTCCGTCTTTACACTTCAGCCGATGAACACTCAATGGAACTTGTTGCTGCCCACTTGCGTCTCCACTTGGAACTCCGCTTTTGCTTGAAATGCAATACGGTCCTGCCGAACAGTGCTCTCGCCGTGGATGCTCCTGATGCCAAACCGCACCGCTGTAAAGACCTTGTCACACCGATAGATATTACCATGCGTCACCAGCCACACGACCAGGGTACGTTTTCTTAATGTAAAACCTTGCGCCTCCGCCCCCCCCTTCCGTTTCACCCGGTCTTTCACCACAGTAGTGATCTATGAGCCCTGTACAAGGCCGTGGTTTATTTAACTTTTTCATTTCTGAACACCGAGGAACCTACTCGGAAACGAGACAAATCAGACGATTAGCTACACTGAATTCCGTCTTTATAGGATGGCAACCGACCCCCACCCGAAGGGGGTTAGTTATATAAGGCAGTTAACGTAGGCCATCACTATTTTCACGAAAGAGCTGTGCGTCCAGCCCAATAGCCTGAGTTTTCTTTTCTCTTAGGATTCACCGTGGCACTGATTTCTTTGTGGAAGAAGTGCAAAAGGAAGTTGGGCGGGAACACAACTGACCGTGACGCTATCTTAATAGCTGGCCCAACTGTAGGTTATCCGGTGCAGAAGTGTAGCGAGACCTCCCTGTGATCATTTTAATCTCTTAATTTTCAGCGACAAGAGCATTCAAGGTGTCATGGTTTGATTATTATGTTTAGTTTTCCATACGTCGCGTGCAAAAGTCCTGCTGTCGTCTAAGCAAGACCAGCCAGCGACGTAGTTGTCTTTGAAACAGTACAGTATCTAACAGAGGACGGTAGTCACTTATTTGCACTACCGATTGTCTATAAGACAGTTGCAGAAGACGTAATTCCAAATCCTTTAATTTCCAACAGTTCTGCATGCTCCTGGCACAAGGCCCAGATTTTCTCATCGAAAGCATACGTCGGACATCCTTTTCCCATCAGAAGCCGTTTTATAGGAAAATAGTGTTACAACTTGAGCAAACTTCTGGACTAATGTGCTATCCTCAACTACTACCAATGGCGAGTTTTTGGCGGTAGCCAAGAGAGACCTGTTCGGATCAACTCCAACACGAGCCCTCTGTGTTATGCGAGATGAACTAACCCATTCTAAACGCCATGGTAAACATTCTGCTCTCGTCTGTTACTCACAGAGTTTGGCCTTGGTGGTTTAAAAATGTCCGGAGATTATCAATCAATCAATCGACCATTCGGGAGTCTGATAACCGGTTTCACGGAGACCTACAGATCAAGTTCCGTATTGTTTCTTAGGCGTTGGAGTCTTGACGGCACATTACTAAGGGGTTCAGTAGCCATCCGAAATAATAGATTGCCAAATGTTTTTGCTAGTTGGATGTCCCTTTTCATTCAACGTTTTGCCGAGCCAGGGCTCGAATATTAACTATTGCAGAGTAAAAAGAAGCGCCTATTGTTTTAGGCGGACATTCGAAGGTTGCTTGTACACTCTCAACCAGTCAGATCGTCGCCGTCATGTTCCAGGCCTAAGAGCTCACCTGTACTTAGCTAATTTTGGCCCGTTCTGTAGTAAACTGATCGTGTATCTTTTCTTCAGAATCCATTCTGTTCGAACGACAACAGGAGCCCGAAGAGTCTACCCAAAATCCTTGGAGGCGTTACTGCCAGGTATGCCTACCTCATTCATACGCACCCTTTGCATCGTCTATCCATCTAATATATTCGGATATTCTTATTTCCATAAAGATTTGCCGACGAGGTTTCAGCAGTCCGGCCCAGTACTCGCAACACTTAAAAAACGTACACAAGGACAAGCGGTTCCTTTGTCCTGACTGTGGTACGTCGAATAAACCCAAAGTGACCTGTTTAATGTTTTTTTTGCATCATGATGGGCGATTAGTGTTCCTCCACCCCCATTGCTTTTGTGCTCAATTCTCAATAAGTGATAAGCTGATAGAGTACTAGTGCTTCTCCATCTACCACCCCCGACCAGTGGTCTTCTAGGTAGCCTATGCGCCCCCAACCCTGTTGCTATAAGATCGACCCTCCTTATTCTGTAATTAAATAACCTTTCCTATAAATAAGACGGCGCTAAAATGGCGAAAGTAGAGATTCGACCCGACCCATCTTCCTCTGTGGATAACAGCAGAAAACAAAACTGCAAGCCATCTGTGATTGGTCAGGTCCCCAAGGTTGCTGTAGACACGAGATTACTTCTCTCCTCGCAAATGCTACTTGGCAGATGGATTTTCCGGCGAAAGCTACTCGGAGGCAGAAAAAGAGTTTTGCTCTGCGGCAAACCCATAATGCGGCAGCGAGGAAGGCAGGCTTGCCGAAAGACACCGTCGGGGCTTGAATCTGCCGTTTCGCAAGACTGTTCGCTTGTATTGAAACAAGCTCTCCCTACTTACTAATGTCTTACGTATTTACCTTTCGGATTTGCACTTTCAACTCAATTCACACGTTCCCTTTTTGCTGTGATTATCCCTTAGAAAAGGGTGGATGGCGTGAGGCCTCAAGCACAACCAGCTGCCGAAAATTTATTTGGATAGCGGCGCTCCCTCCCGTTCTGCGAAAATTCCCATTTTACGATTGAAAAGTCATATTGGCAAACAATTTTTTTCAGTCCTTCGTCATCAGGCCGGTAGAGCCGGTGCCGGCCTGATGACGAAGGACTGAAAACAATTGTTTGCCAATGACTTTTTCAATATTTACTGTCATCACTGTTTTTCAACCAATACAGGTGCTTCAGAGTTGCGCTGACCGTGGCGTCGTATTTTAATTCACCTCCCTCTCCCTTAGGCACATCCTTTAGCACCAAAGGCAATATGACAACCCACTTTCAGCAAGTTCACAATCTCAGCGACTCCGTGTCTTGTCCTGTGTGCTCCAAACGCTGCAGTAACCGGTGA